ATAATATTTTAATATAATAAATCTAACTCAAAGGTGATGTTTGTACATTTATTTATTTGAGCATATTTTAAATTAATTTAATATATGTCGAAAAGCAATTCAACAAAAGTGGCTTTAGTTTGCTTGAAAACATCTCAAAACATTACAAATTAATCATTACTTCAAGTTTTTGGAAAGCATGGTAAAATCACAAAGGTAAGATAAAGTTTGAATTGACATAGATTTTAATCTTCGAGTAAGGTCCAATGCAAACTAAGGTTTTTATTGAATATGAAGATCCTGAATAAGCTTAGGATGCTATCAAGTAGGGATTTAAGTTGATTTAGCTGTTTAAATAATACAAAAGTGATGAATAATATAATTTGCAATGTTTATCCTTCCAGACTTAGAGAACTCAAATTAGATAATGTACCAAATACAAAAGGAATGGATTTGACTTAAAAGTTACCTTTTAGTATGCCATCATTATGGGATTTGAATGTGAATGAAGATGAGTCTACATTACAAGTATCAGAAGAGAAACTTGTTGATATTAGAAAGAAGCTGAGTATGATTGATGATGAGATAAGTCGAACTATTGAGAATAAATTAGACAATGCTTTAATCAAGTTATATCAACAGACAAAGTGTTTAAGAGTTCTAATGGGAGACTATCAACTTGATGAGATCTTGCACAAAACTAGCAAATATGGCAAAATAGTACACCTCCTGCCACTCCATTAATTTAGGTTTACCTGAAGCAAGCATAATAGGAAGTTTACGTGAAGTATGACTCAGATAAAGAGTGTTTATAAGCCTATGAGGAGCTCAAAGACCAAATGATTGTGCAGATCAAGTACAATTTCGAGAGCATCCCTGGCTACGTGATGGTGAACTCAAATTATTGAAACATCCTCTCTCAATTTATAATTTATTTTATTTAATGTGGTTACATCCTGAAACTATGATCAAACTTGGTAATGAGTTCTTTCAAAAGAAAGAATTTGATTAGGCCATCAATTGGTATTAATAGTCTATAAACAAAAATACACAATTTGTGGAAGGATACTATAATTTAGGATTGGTATATATGTACCGTAAGAAATTTGATGAGGCTATTAATTACTTCAAACAATCCTTAGATTTGAGGCCAAGCTTTCCTGAAGCCTTATGTAGTATGGGAATAGCATTGTATAACCTCAATCAAGTAAGTGTGTCTGGCCATAGTATACTAGTATGAAAAAGCCTTGAACTATTTGGATCAGGCTCTTAAGCATCGCCAATCCTTCTCAAATCCTTTGAAATACAAGGGTGATACTGTAAGGAAAATGGGCAATTTATAAGAAGCAGTCATTTAATATAAATAAGCAATATCATTGAAAGTAACTGTTTTCTTTAATATTCCTTATAGCCTGACTTTTACTAAGCTCATAAAGCTCTTGGAGATACATATAGGAAACTGAAAGAATACAAATTATCAATCTAATCCTATGATAATGCATTAGAATATAATTAAAAATATGCAGAAGTTTTCAAAAAGAAAGCAGATTCTTTGAGAAATCTTGAGATCTTTGAAGAGTCATTACAAAATTATACAAAAGCTATAGAAATTAGACCAAACTATCCAAAGGCTTATAATGATGCAGGATTGTTATTTATTTAGAATGCTAAATATAAAGAAGGAGTTGTATACTTTTAGAAAGCAGTTTAATTGAAATAAGATTATAAGGATGCTTATAATAATTTGGGTGTTTGTTACTATCATCTATTATAATATCAAGATGCTATCACTTAATTCGACACAGCTCTTTAAATATAGGTAGGTTTTACAATCCCAATGTTAAATAAGGCATCAACATTATTAAGAATGAAGAAGTATGATGAAGCAAATAAATGTTTTGATTAAGTAATGAAACATTAACCAAAAAATGTATAAGTTTTATTGGGTAAAGGAATTTCTTTATATGAAACCAAAAAATATGAGTAAGCAGCTTTGTTATTGAGTCAGGGTTATGATATTGATAGTAATAACTTTGAAGTTGTTTTCAATTATGGAGTTTGTAATTTCTAATTGAAAAAATATAAAGAAGCCTTATAATTATTATAAGAGGCTTAAAAATTAAGGGATACTTTGGAAGGACACTTTAATTAAGCAATTTGTTCATTATATCTAAAAGACTATGAATATTCTAAAAAGGAAATCGATATGTATGTAGTTCATTAGGAAGATGATATGGAGGCTAAAGCAGTCTAAGGAATCGTAGAGTATTATTTAAATAATCTTGCTTTTGCTTAAGAATGCTTCTAAGAGGTTTTGAAGAGATAAGAGAATTAAGTTGTTCATAATAATCTTGGAGTAATCTTATTGCTAAATTAATAATTTGATGAGGCATTGAAACATTTTAATGCATCTGTTTCAGGTAAAGGAGATTATGCTGATGGTTTATATAACAAAGGAGTTGCATTATGTAATTTAAATTAGTATGAGGATGCTATTAGATAATTTAATAAAGCAATTTAAATTAAACCTAAAAATGAGTGTAAATTTGCATTCATTAATAGGGGAATATGTTTAAAAAATCTTAAAAAATTTAATGAAGCCATATAAAATTATGATGAGGCAATTCAACTTAGTTAAGGTACTGATGTAGAAGATATCTATTACTTTAAAGGGAATTGTCTATTGGAATTGAATAAGTATGAAGATGCTATTTAATTATATGATCAAGCCATTTAACTTGAAAGTGTTTACAGTTCATCAGCTAATTTCTAGAAAGGTATTGCATATACCAATCTCAAACA